ACGACATCTCTAGCTCCGTTCAGTCTTTTCATCCGAGTCTTCATCGCTGATTTTAACACAACCGTAAGACTGCAGAATAATGTATTGCTGAAGCGCTGTTAAGTTTCGTAGCTACTCTGTCTGATTTAAACCACCTGTCGAGCAGTTTATCGGTGTTCGGCCACTCCACAGGGGGCAGTTCCTTGAAATCGTGGACAAGAGCTGCGCATAGAGTGAAAAATTACTCGAAGAAATCTCCAAGGAAACAGGACCGTCCTTCAACAACTGCCTATCTCTCTATGTATCCTCAGTTCCAATCTTCCATTGAAGGTGTGAATTGGCAAGTCTGTTGAATAATGAATGAACACAGAGCCTGACCAATTTATCACCTGTATACTTGGTAGCAAACGAAAACCAGAGACGAAATTCAACCAAACACTGTGTGGAAGCGATTCCGGAAAGGTTATTAAAAAAATTTCTATTTTGTTTTCTCTGTTCTCATTTCACAGCACCAGAGGTGATCATTGTGCGAACTGCAAACCCTTGTCCTTCATCCGCATTGCCTTAATCGCTACAAAGAAACCAAGATTTTTGTACACTCGCCATAGCATGAGGAGGTGCGATTGACCGATGAAGGTTACTAACAATAATTTTGATACTTTTGCATTGTTTAGGGTGGCTGTTATCGTCGTGTTTTATCGGTGTTATGAAATATGGCCGGGGTGATTAAATCCACTATTTAGGTTTTGCACACTGTATCTGTAACTTTGGCGTTCGGCATTCAAATCAGCTAACTGTAAATCATTATGAAATGCACAGAAGTTTACAATGATTATTGCGCTCTTTTTCAATATTGAATATATGATTGTTTGGACAATTTACAAGGAGAGAGGCGGCTGTCTAGTTGTACGAAAACGATGGGAAGGTTAGACCACGGCGGCTTAGCTCGAACCCAACATCAAACGGTGATAAGGTTTTGACCTTAATCGATGGACTACTGCTTCCTGAAGTAGTACACTTTTATTCTTCATATTGTAGCCCTTTTGCGTTATAAATTGAGTTTTTGCCTTTCACCCGTTGGAATGCACACATGTGAGATTCGGTCGTTTACTGAAACCGAATGTGGTTTTCTCTTTTTCTCAGGTTGCCCATCGTATGCGTCTATCGCGTTCTCTGTTCAGTGCTACCAAAAAGTTTTTTTCAAGCGCCGTCGGGGGTTCCGCACAAAACTCATCTAGCTCAACATCTGGAACTAATGCCCTGTCTCAACCCACAAGTTTGCTGAATTCGACGAGCACACCCAGTCTGATTGGTATGAGTGGTAGCGGAGGAAACTGGCCTACCACGAGCAGCGAAACAGTGATGGCACGAAATTCTATTGTTAGTTCCCGTGAGGATGTGCGGACGCAAACATCGGGACCACAGCCACCGCATCCACCCGCTTCTGCTGTCCCCGTGGTTGTGTATACAACCGAGGCACCGGAAATGCAAATGCGTCGACTGGCGGATCTGGCGTTTCTCTTTCAACAATACGAAGTTGCCTATCAAACGTACAATGTGCTCAAACGTGACTTTCAGAATGATTCGGCCTGGTTGCATTATGCTGCAGCACAAGTAAGAAAAACACGATTATAACTGCATGTTTGGTTCGATATCGTATGTTGTAAGTGTATGATATGGTGAATTACGGACTAGCTATTGAAGACGGTTTTTCCCAATGATTGTCCATTCGGAATCAACTACATCCTCTGTCGACAGCCATTAGTGAATCAGTCCTCCCTGATTCCATACAAATTCTGGAATGTGGTTTTCATGGGTGCTTAAGAGGGAGGGCTTTGACTCCCGCCATAAAGGTTTGTGGTTCGAGTCGCGGGTGGGACTCGACACATCGTACTTACTGCTCTTAAGTTCAAACAAAGACAAATCGCCTGTCCAATGCCTCTTGTTGGCATTCACATACAGCATTTAGTGGCCGTATTTCGTGAATGTGTTTTCTTGAGAGAATGAGACAAGGTGATGATAGTCCGGTACCGTTCTTTCACTTACTCTCCCTTGGTTCTTCTCTTTTGCTTGACATTGGCGACTTATTTCAGGCATTTGTTTGCCCGTGATCTTCGATTAGTTGATCAGATAATATATAGATAGCAACGAAAGTCGACGCAAGGGAATTTGCGAAATCAATGATGATTTTTCAGACCAGACATCGCCCGGGTATCCTTTAATCAACTTAGGTCATTTTCATTATTGGCGCAGTGACATCCGAAAACACGGAAAACACGAACTCGATCGGTCTAGCAGACCGAGTTTGACCACAATGCTGAACTGGTGTACGCCTGAACTTCAGTCCACGTGCGGCCACAACCGAGATGTTTACCGATGCAATTCCTGAAAAACCTAATGAAATGGCTCTAATATCTCGATTTTTGTCTATTTAGATTTACCTAAGAATGTTCAGGTTGGCAATCATTTGGGTCAAGTTGATATTTCACTGAATATTTTTTTTTCTATTTCGACAATTCCCATTTCATCAATACAGAAAGAAGACAAATGTCGCGAGATGTTAACATTTCGTTTAATCTTCTCAGTCGCTGAATTAAAACAGAAAGGCACATATCTGGCACATGGGGTCGATCAATTATGGTGAACGAACCTGTACAAGCATACAAAAATTACCAAATTTTGAAGTAGAAAGTTAACTCCACAGTAAGTGGATTGATTATATCAAAAACTTGTGGGTGATGTAATCGAATAAGCAGTGCTTCACTGATTGCCAAAAGTTTAGCATTGTGATTTCGCTATAGTGGTTTGAAAGACGAATTGGGGTCAAATGTGTCTTGTTGCCATGACATGTTTTGCAACACATAACCTTGAATTTCATATAATCTCTTGGCCATCAATTATCGGTTGCGTCATCGATTTCACCCACCACTTTGGAATATGTTCGGCCATCCGTTGTGCTATACGTGTGCCTGTTTGTTTTAAGTAAGCGACTGGGAAGATTAAACGGAGTGTTAACATCTCGCGACTTTTATCTTCTTTCTCTATTGATGAAATGGATGAAGGGATCTCAATGCTTCAACTTTCCATTTCTCCGAAAATACCAACTAAATTGCTGTTTACTTTCACGCCAGAAATACTGTTTTACTTACATTCTTTTGAACTGAAAAAAGAACAATGAAAAGGCGCTCGATTAAACAGCTTTGCTTTCCTCATCCTTAAGTAGTTCACCAGTACCCCGGTTCGAACGCTTTTTATACCAGTCGCTGCATGTATCGACAATGGGTTCTCGTGACTATGACGCTTACCATATCTAGTCCCTATCACAGAATAGTGTTCAAAACATGAGACGAGCGTAAATTGAACGGCAGCACAGAAGCAGTACAACGGCCTGTAGTTTAATGATACGCACACAGGTATATAAATGCCGAACTAATGAAACTATTATGCATATGAATGATTGGTAAATTGCTCTTTGTTATTCAGTTTTTGGGTCCATGTGTGTTAAAGCATATTGAGGTCATTGCTTACAATTTATTGTTGGCGTATATATATAT